TAGGACTGAGCCTGTAGGACCCAGGACTGAGGCTGTATCCCAGGACTGCGCCTGGTAGACCAGGTCCTGAGGCTCTGTATTGTGTTATGTTGTATATTATGTTATATATTATGCTGTATGTTATTCTTTATTCAAGGCTAGGTTTAAAACAGTCCTCTTTAGTTTAGCATATGGCTAGGAAGGTAAGACTCGGAGAAGGTTAAACTCCTCAGAGTGTTAGTCAAGCTGCATAGGGAGTCAGTTTGCTGGGAGAAGTATGGTAACTTGAGCACTATCCTCTCCTCCTTCCTACTTTATCTGTTTAGCATTTTTAGGATTCTGACTGTAGTTTGTTCATTGCTATTCACCCGTTGTCCCATTGTCTGTTTCATGGTACGATGACGGGATCTCTGAGCCTGGCCTCTTCCATCTACACCTGCGGACTGCCCCCGCCGACCCGCCTGGGAGTGCTTCGGTCCTGCACCGGACCTGTCCACGTTCAGCGTCCACTGGTCCACGTTCTGTAGCTAGCTTAGGTCCTAGATCATTAGCTGTCCGTCCGGAGGAGCGGATCCCTTTCTCATATGGGTCTCCCTCCCTGTGGGTTTCCCTAGATCTCCTCCAAGGTTTCTCACTTTTTCCCACTGGGTTTTTTAAGAGTTTAATTCCTTGTTCGATGCAGGAGGGTCTTGTTGCGACAGTTAGTGTCCCAACAGAAAGGATTGGGTGCATGAACAGGACACGTTAGCATTCTACAACATGTATGGACATTTTCTTCTGTTGTGTTTGCTTTTATATGTATTCTTCATGTGTTTTAACTGTTGATTCTCTGACCTGTTGTTGGTGATTTTCAATGGTTTTTGTTAAAGTCCTTCTGAGATGACTTCTGCTGTGACCTAGGGCTATACAAGAATAAATTGTAATGTATAGTATTGTATTGTACTTGAGGACAGGGAAGAGTACTTTGTGGAGATTTTGGAAACTGATGTTGCTCAGAATCATATGGCCCATGACCTGTGGAGTACCACAGGGGTCCGATTCTGGGACCTCTTCTGTTCAAATCTCTACATGCTGCCGGTATAGGGCCAGTTAATACGCAGAAGGAAACGAAGTTTCCTATCATAACTATGGCCAAAGAGAAGGAAACGTCAACGGTCACCTTACCAGTCCTCTCTCCCTACAAACCTTTCAAAACAAGGTCGATATGCTAGGGGTAGTAATACTGGGACTCAGACTTAAATTTTAATAGCCACATCAAATCAGTAACATCAGCAGCTTTTTACCATCTCTAAAAAACATTGCCCAGGATCAAAAAACCATTTAGTGTCTAAAGCAGACCTGGAGATTCTTTATCCATGCATTTGTCCTCCAGTAGGTTTAGACTACTTCAATGGCCTGCTCACATGTCTGTTCCAAACAGGCTGTTAAAACTGGCTGCAGTACATTCAAAATGCAGCAGCTCGAGTCCTGACTAGAACCAGGAAGTTACGACCACATTAGTCCAGTTCTCAGGGGTCTCTGCACTGGCTTCCTGTGGCTCAGAGAATAGAACTTTAAAACAGCTCTGGTCTGCTTGGTACAAATCTCTCCATGGCCTCGCACCAAAATATATTAGTGACATGTTAGTCCCATATGAACCAGCCCGGACTCTGAGGAGCACAGGGACTGGACTCCTGTTAGTGTCCAGAGTCAGAACTAAACATGGGGAGGCTGCTTTTCAGATTCATGCTGCAAAAATCTGGAACAGTCTTCCTGAAGATGTGAGACAGGCCTCCTCTCTGACAATGTTTAAAACCAGGTTAAAGACAGATCTGTTTAGCTGTGCATACAACTGAGGGATTTTATATTTTTATCTTTCTTTTTAATGTTCTGTGATTATTTAGGATTTTAATGCTTTCTTGTTTTGTTCAGCACTTTGAATTGCCTTGTGTATGAATTGTGCTATATAAATAAACTTGCCTTGCCTTGCCTTGCCACTAAGTGCATTTATTTCTGTATTTATTTATTTATATATTTATTTATTTCTGTATTTATTTATGTATTTTTGTATTTATTCATACATGTATTTCTCTATTTCTGTATTTATTGATTTATTTTATATGATTTGCATATCATTAAGAGAAATACGGAAATAAAGAGAAATAAATAAATACAGAAAAAAAACAAAATAAATAGAGAAATAAATAAATAAATACAGAAATAGAGAAATAAATGTATGAATAAATACAACAAATAAATAAATATATAAATAAATAAATACAGAAATAAATAAATATGTAAATGAATATATAAATAAATAAATACAGAAATAAATGCACTTGCATGCATTTGCATGCATTGCAATGCAATTGCATGCATTTCTATGCACATTTTATCTTTTTAAAATTAATTTATTTATTTATTTCTGTATATATTTATTGTTTTGGTAGCCACAGTCCTCCATAAATCCATGCCTAAATTTAACCAGCGATTTCCATAGAATAACCCCAACCCACCCTTAACCGGAAGCATGGTGGCTGAGTGGATAGCACTCTCACCTCTCAGCAAGAAGGTCCTGGGTTCGAATCCCATGTTCTCCCCATGTCTGCGTAGGTTTCCTCCTGGTACTCCAGTTTCCCCTACCACTAAAAACATGCACAATAGGTCTGGCATGCGCCTGTGAAAGGTGGTATATAAATAAAGATTACTTACTTAACCATCTTACTCAGACACCTAAAACTTAACCAGTCACCACTTAAGGACTTATTAGTATAAAACTTATTCGAAAGTAGGATTGTTACTTCCGCTTCCGTCCTGATTCCGTATATGATCCAGTACCGACGATGACCCTGACCAGAGGGGCCACAGTGGGCTTTGTAGAATCATAAAGATAAACATCACATGGTATTTGTCGCCATCTGCTGCTCACATCAGGAAACTTCACTGATAATAAAAAAAACAACAGCTGCTGTGGAATGAAGAAATCCAAACATTCAAACTTATTATTCAGAGAAAAAATATCTGATATGTTTGAAAAAGAATAAATACTTGTTCTGTTTCAGGACACAAAAGTTTAGCCCCAACAGGTAGAGTCTCTGAAAATGTTTTGAACAAATCATACTACACAACACAGCATTGTGATTATTTATTTTAATGTTTCTTCACTTGTTCTGTTAAGCACTTTCAGTGACCGTGTGTATGAACTGTGCTATACAAATACACGTGCATTGCCTGATAATAATTATATTGATAATTATCAGTTAGGCTTGAATTACTAAAAGAAAATGCAGAGTAGTGTTTTATTTTGTGGGCCTGCCCGAGGGTTCTCACTGGATTTTTGAGTGGTTCTTTGTTGATGCAGGGTCTAAGGACAATGATGAGTGTACATTTATGGGCATTTATTAACATTTATGGATAGTGAATAATGTTCACTGAACATTCCTCTCCCTAAGGACCAATGCCTCCTATTTGTCCATAGGTCTTTCTTTCTTTTTCTGGTCTCTCTCCCTCTCTCTGGGTTCTCTTTCTAGAAGCCAGAGAGACTAGAGTTTCTAGTCTCTTATTGGCTCCTATGTGATTGTTAATATTGCATTTCCTGTGTTCAAACGCTTTACAGTTTTTGGTGCATTTCTCACATCAGACTTAAACTTCTCAAAACTATTAGTTCAACCTCCACAACATTGAGTCATTGGTGCACATCATCATGGCAGTTTCTCAATCCTATGAACACATTTCAAATGCTTTCGGACATGTATGAGTTACTTTCATACAATTATCTGCTGTTTTTTAACATAATAATTTGCTTCTGTCCTGTCAGTTAAAATGAAATATACTTATGACTTCTGAATAGTCATTCACTATAAAACTAACTGTCCTCTTTTAATCGCTTTGGTCATCACATACAAAATTGTTGAACTAGTTCTCAAAATCATATTTTAAGCTAATTTCATACACTCGTTTATCTTTTTTTTCTGTAAATCTTTCCTAAGATTCTCTCAGGTCAATTTCAGCTTAACTCATGAGGAAGTGTGTGTTTTATTGTTTACATTGGTCACATTTCTACCATACTGCTTTTTTTTGTATGTTTGCTCTATGTATATATTTTTATTTATTCATTTCGAGCAAGTAAGCGGGCATAGAAATATGCATGTTGGTGACTGTATTTTTGTTGCACAATGCTGTAGAATTGCAAAGAGCATATGCAGTAAATATGTGAAAGACATGCAGTACACATACTTACAGTACACAGACATAAATACATACATAGAAAACACAGACATACATACATACAGTACATATGCATACATACAGTACAAACATACATACAGTACATATACATACATACAGTACATACACACATAGATACACACATACATGTACATACAGTACATATATACATATATTTCAGTTACCTCTCTAAATACAGTCTCTGTGTAACTTTACTGTAGTTTTTACTGTAAATGACTGTATAGTTCATGTATAGTGTGCTCATAGTCGTGCTCAAGTGTCACCGAGATCTGACTTTTTTACATTGAAAACACAGAGAGAGTAAAGTGTCACAATGAAAACATGACTAAGTCATTTGACTGTGTTCATACTCAATGCTGTTAGGACATATTATTTTGACGACACAGACAGTTTCATTGACCTGAAGACTTGCTTTTGAGGGATTAACTTTTCATTTTGAGAAAGTGATGCACTTTTGCAGGTTATCCACGAGGTCTTGCAGTTTGAACTAATTGTTCTGAGCGATGCACTAACAGTTGTGCAAATGTGAAGAATGATGTGAAAAATGCACCAAAGCGACTGAGAAAAACTGTAATTCTTCCTATATTGTTAATAGACCACTTTGCAAAGTCCTCTGAGACGACTGTTGTTGCAATTTAGGACAATAAACAAATACATTGGACAATGTCTAAAATCCAGGTTAAAAACAGTTCTGTTTAGCTGCCTTTGTTTCTATTTTGTTTTATGGTTACAATGTAACTGAGGGACTTGCCACGTATGTCTGTGTCCGCTAGAGGACGCCAGATGAGCAGTCTATGGTCACTGAGAGGTAGTAGCAGCCGCATCAGCAGGTGCCTCTGATCCAGACCCCAGACCCCAGACCCCAGACCCAGACTCCATCTCCGCCGCAACATCAGGTAAACATACTCCGAAGTGCAGCCCGATCCCCGTGGATACTCTAGCCACACCACAGCGACACACAACCCAAAAAGCAACACACAAACAGCACTATGACCATGTGGCTAGTTCCACTGCTAAATACCAGGTTGATGCTACATAAGGTAAGAGCTCCATGTTTATTACTCGTCCATAATGACCTTTTACTTGTATTAAGGTCAACTGTTACGTGTGGCAAGCACCATTTCATCGTGGAATAACAATAACAACACGGAAGTTCTGGTTTGCAACTTTGAAACATGCTATCGTTGCTAGCTCCGCTGCTAGCACACGGACTCCCATTCAAAAGAAGCAGGACTCTCCACTGACAGTTCAATAAAAATGGGGTTTGCGGTATTGTTACAAGCATATGACTGCTCACAATAGTCTGCTCCCTCATATCTGTCATTCGGCATTCGTAAAAGCGAACAAAAAGGCTCTCCAATATGTTCTCCACACAAATGCTATGATATGGAATTAGTATTAAGCCGAAGTTAATTTGCATGGAGACTTCATATAGATATAATACACATAATACCTGACGTGTAAAAAATATAGTAATCACATAGAGTTGGCTGAAATTAAATAGCATTCTTGACAATTGACGTTATATCTTGACAGCAATATGTTTTGATGATCCAAATAATGATATTTCTTACGTTGCTTCACTTACATTCTATGACATCTTTAATGTTCGATTCATATACTGTAGGGGGTCAAAAGTTTTGTTTTTATCATGTGATGTTGAATAGGGTTAGGGTCAGGAAGATGCATATGTTTGTCAAAGCAGAATGGCGAATTTTGCACCTTAGTATAAATCCTGTTTAAGTCCAGCAAGGTCAGTGGCTAAGCCTGAGCAGATAAGAAAGGCAGTGTTCAAGCTGTAAGCTGAGTGTCCTGTCAAGATCTACTCACTGGAACGCTGCTCGTTCATGTGTCTGTATACATAATATTCATAATATATACAAAACACTGCATTATTTTTGGGTTCAACTTAAAGCTACACACCTCCCTGAACATGCACTATAGACCCTCATCTATCCATTTCTATTAGCCCTGCCCTACCCTACCCCAATCCACCCCAATCCACCCTACCCCACCCTACCCTACAATCGAGCTTGTACTAAGTGTTCTGACTGAGGATACTGGTTTGTTAAGCCCCATTGCCACCAGCCCTACTTGGCCCTACCGTTCTCTACTCTACTCTACCTGGATGCGTTTCCCTAACACTTTAGTATCCAAGTAACCTACCCACCAAAACCAGTATCCTTGCAAATTCCTTGTTAACTATTGCTTCCAGCAGCGTTCTGGCTAATCACTGTCAGTTAGAACACAAGTATAGAACTAGGGCCAACAGGGACTAAAGATGGACCTGGTACTGAAACAGGGTCAGTGTACACTTCCAATTGGAGTAAGAGAGAAGTAAGAGAAGAATAAAGTAGAGTTGCTTGGAGTAAGAATAAGCGTAGAGCAGGGCTATAGTAAAGTGTGTGACCCTGTGTCCTGCAGGATGGCCCAGTTGGGAGCCGTGCTGAGCGTACTTGTGGCACTGGGAGGAGCCGCTCTCTTGGCCTCTGTGCACAAAATTGACGAGGGCCACACAGGCGTTTACTACAGGTGAGGGCACAACATCTGCTGCACGTCAGCTTCACACCTGGAACAACACTGTCAATAATTATACACGCACACACTGTGCTTGTGTACTGTTTATGGTGGCAATAAAATATGCGCCTCCGAGTCGATGGGATCAGATCCAAACCACCTGACTGATTTGAAGCTGTAGAGGAAGTACTGAGGCTTGTTAGCAAATCAGAAATATAGAAATCAGAATAATGTTAGAATATAGTTACTTTGGTGATTTTTAGCAGCCTGTGATCGCACTAGGGCAGAACCAGGTAGGGGAGAAATGTACATACAATTCCTGTTTTTACCAGCCCACACACACCAGAATGAGTCTGGTGTGTGTGTGAATGGTTGGTGGTGGTCAGACGGGACGTTGGCACATACTGGTTGCCTCGCTTTTGTCAGTGTGCCCTAGGGTAGCTGTGGGCATTGTGTATGAATAATGACATGTGAAGTGTCCAAAAAAGCGCTATAAAAAACTGATGCATTATTATTCTTATTATTACTCTCACTCTACTGTACTCTACCCTATTCCTCGATTGGGAGTATTTCCATTTGTTTACCAGGACCAGGTCCTTCTTTAATCCCTCTTGGCCCTGGGTCTATCCAGGCTGAGCTTATACTAAAGTATTCTAACTAACAGTGATTTGCTAGAGTGCTTTGGAAGCCATGGTCATCATGGAATTTCCACGGATACTGGTTTGTCGTGGGTAGGTTGTTAGGATACAATACCAGTTACTAAAGTGTAATGGAAACGCAACCAGGTAAAGTAGAGTAGAGTATAGAAGGGCAGGTGGAAACGGGGCTCCTGATAGTGTCCTCATGTCCTGTATCTGGTCCTCAGAGGGGGCGCGCTACTGACTGCCACCAGTGGCCCGGGCTTCCACTTGATGATGCCGTTCATCACCACCTACAAGTCTGTGCAAGTGAGTGTCTCAACGCCAACATTAACGTGTGACGGCTTTTAGTTTTTTTAGTCTCAGCGATTGTACATTTTGCTTTGTGACTTATTCTGTACATACAGTGAGGGGGAAAGGTATTTAGTCAGCCACCAATTGTGCAAGTCCTCCCACTAAAAATGATTAGAGATGCCCGTGATTTTCATCATAGGTATACCTCAACTCAATAGGTATACCTGGGCGGCACGGTGGCTGAGTGGATAGCACTCTCGCCTCTCAGCAAGAAGGTCCTGGGTTCGAATCCCGGTCGGACCAGGGCCTTTCTGAGTGGAGTTTGCATGTTCTCCCCGTGTCTGCGTAGGTTTCCTCCGGGTACTCCGGTTTCCCCTACCGCTAAAAATATGTAAAATAGTTCTGGCATGCGCCTCCTGTACTGGCGACCCCGCTCCCATCTCTGTGTGGACAAGTGCCCAAAAAAATAACAATTGTAAACCGCTTTGAGACTCAGCTCTGCAGTGAAAAGGCGGTATATAAATAATTACTTACTTACTTACTTACTCAACTATGAGAAACAACATGAGGAAAGAAAATCAAGATTTTTTTTTTTGCAAATGAGGAAAAATAAGGTTTAGGCGATAACAAAAGTTTGTCTCAATACTTTGTTATACCCTTTGTTGGCAAAGACAGAGCTCAAACGGGTTTTAACAGGTTTTCACAGACTATTGCTGGTATTTTAGCCGATTCCTCCGTGCAGATATCCTCTAGAGCAGTGATCTTTGGGGCTGTCGCACAGACTTTCAACTCCCTCCAAAGATTTTCAATGGGGTTGAGGTCTGGAGACTGGCTAGGCCGCTCCCAGAGCTTGAAATGCTTCTTAAGAAGCCTCTCCTTTGTTGCCTATGTCTTTGGCATCATTGGGCCTCATTCACGAACCGTTCTTAAGAACAAATTTGTGCGTAAATCCTACTTACGAGGATTTTACGAAGATTGTGGCATTCACAAAATTTTCTCGTAACCAGAATTTCTCTTGGGTACGTACAAATCCTACGAGTGCTCAGGGGCACTCTCACGCACATTCAGTGCCGACATGTTCGCACGCTGGTGTTGTCTTCTTTTGTGAAGTTCAGTAAAACACAACATTACAGTGATATGTCTGTCATATTGATTTATGTATTTATTTATTTAATTGTTTATAGTAATTTAGCCTATTTTTTAAATTCATTTTGAAATTAAATATGGCAACGCTTTATCAAATACATTGGAAATCATGTTGTCTATTAGTGACCCCATCCTTTTTATAGGGGACATTTCTTTATCCACGGGCCACTGAACAATGGCATATATACTGCTGCTGCAGGAGGTTGCGGGGTCCGCGCTGAGCCTCTCCCGTGGATCTATTACGGGTCAGCGCTGGTCTCTCCCGTGGATCTATTACGGGTCCACGCTAGTCTCTCCAGTCTATGGTCTCTCCATATATGTCTCTCCTCGGGTCTGAATTGGTCTCAGCGCTGGTCCGCGCTGGATCTCCTCCCAGAGTCAACAATATTTTGAGATTAATCTCATAACATTTTGAGATTCATATTTAAATTAATACATGATATATTTTTTAATTAATCTCATAATATTTATAGATTAATCTCATAATATTTATAGATTAATCTCATAATATGTATAGATTAATCTCATATCTATTGATTATTCTCATAATTTTTCTAGTTTGACTTTATTCTCATAATATTTTGACTTTAAAGTCAAAATGTTATGACTTTATTCTCAGTTTGGCAAAAGAAGAAAAAAGGGTGACTCTTTTGCTCCGTGTAACTCTTTGCTTTAGCATGTTGCTGTTTCCTCCGGCGTCTGTATACGGCCCTGCAGTCCCTTTTATGGGCATTAATGGGCCGTTACCTGTGCTAAGTATCTATGCTAATTAATCACCTGGCACGCGCGCTCTACTTACGAGGAGTTGGGAGTCATCAATCTAAGAGAACAGCTGCGAACAATTCGGCTTACAAACGCGTTGATGAATCCCATGTAGGGTTTTCTTAGAAATCTACTTGAGAACGACTTGAGAAGGAATTTAAGAAGATATTTGTGAATGAGGCCCATTGTTGTGTTGAACAAGCCAGTCCTGTGCTGTGTTCTCTTGTATACAGACCACGATACAGACGGATGAGGTGAAGAATGTGCCATGTGGGACCAGGTGAGCCATGGGACCAGGCCAAGACTAGGCCTGTCACGATAACAAATTTTGCTGGTACGATTAATTGTCTCCAAAAATATTGCGATAAGCGATAATATTGTCGTTCTAAGATCCTTTTCATCTATTACAATGATAATGATGCAGGTACACCTTTTCAAAGAGAAATAAACTTTTATTTTTAAAGACCACCGCTGGAAGTGGTGACGCTAACGGAGTTAAGCTAGCGGCTTTATGTGTAAAGTTCTTCGCCAAGAATGAAGCTCTGCGGCGTCTCTTTGTCCAGAGACTTTGGCCCTGTCTCAATACCCACACTGCACCCTACTCTCCTCTACAAAGTGTGGATTTGTTTGAAGTGCACGCAAGGGTTTGAGTGCGCAGGTTACAAGCGTGCAAAAAAAGGCGGAATTGGGACAGTGCAGGTTATGTCATCGACTAGTCAAGAGATGGTCATTTTCAGACCTAAACTTGATCAAATTAAAGGTAATTTCGTCCGACCCTGTGGGAAACAAAAGTAGTAGTTAATGAGTTGCTCCACACACGTTAAAATAAATGTTTATTGGATATTTGTAATTTGAGATTTATAGCTTATAATTTTAAATTAAATGTCGGTATCTAACTGTTATCTGGTAAGTTTTTATACATCCTAAGTTTATTGTACTAAGTGTAAAGTTTAAATTGGATGTTATGAATGCTTGCATTAAAAAAAGTTATGAAATTGTTATCACAGAAATACATTTATGCTGCTTTCCAGGTAACATAACAAAACTTATTTACACATATACAGCATAAATATTTCAGAAATTACACTTAAATGCATTGTCCTGAAGTTTTGGTGTGTACCAGAAAGAATTATGGGCAATAGCCTTCGCCAGAGCCCGCTTAGATCCAGGCTACGGCAAAGTGTGGATCAGGGGCGCAAAGGGGGCGGGGCCAAAGACCTCCCTGGAGAATTGGGACACCCTAAGCATTCGAGAATTGGGACAGGACCTTTATAAAACAGCAGTATGTGTTCACGGAGGTGCGCCATAAGTTTATTTTATTATTAAACGGTACTTACGCATCGTGAACACGCTAATGCTAGCTGTGCTAGTTTAGTCACAAATAGAGCTTGAATGAGAACTCAGGCTGGCATATGTTCACAACAACTTTGTCCTCCATTGTCAATCCTGGTTAAGTCCTGATTTAGTCCTAGTTTAGGTCCTGTTCGGCTGAATTTTGTATTTTTGAGTTATTTCAGTCTGCTCCCTAGACCGCTAATGTTCCCGTGACCACTTTGCAGCTCTCTGACCCGGGAGAGGGAGGCAGAGAGAGAGACAAGAAAAACAAACAAGCATACAAATGGAATTTATCTAATTTTAATTATCATGCGATTAATTTATTTATTGAATATTGCGACAGGCCTAGCCAAGACTTGGCCATCTTGTGTTTTAATTCAGTTCTGTCCCATGTATTTGTGTATAGTCCTAAAGCACAACAATAGTAACCTATATTTGTGAAGCAACAATCAGAACAGTAAACTACTGGATTCCAGAGGTTCTGAGATATTTTTCCTCCTCATTCCTGGCTCTGCAGCCTGTTTGTACGTGGGAGAGGATCCCTCTTTTAATATGGGCCTTGCCAAGGCTTCTCAATTATTTCTCACTGGTTTCATGAGTGGTTCATTGCAGATGCAGGAGGGTGTAAGGGCCGTGATGACCTGGAAATGCAAATCCTCGACTTTGTAAAGTCCTCTGAGACGATTACTATTGTGATTTAAGGCGATACATGAATACATTGAATTGAATTGAATCCTAAATTACCTACTGTTTTTATCTTTTCTATCTTTTAACACGTCTGCTGTTCTCTGCAGTGGTGGGGTGATGATTTACTTTGATCGTATAGAAGTAGTCAACTACCTGATCCCGGGAGCAGGTAATACCTATGTCGCCTGCAGGAGACAAAAGCCTCATCAATGCACACAACTTTGCATTATCCCCTCATCAATACACACAACTTTGCATTATCCCCTCATGCACACTGAGACATTAATACCATCTCTTGTGCACATTGAAAACACGTGCTAGCATGTGCTACTAATGTACATGTTTGAAGGATGTGATACTACTGTACATGTTAGAGGCATGTGCTACTACTGTAAATGTTACAGGGGCGGCACGGTGGTTGAGTGGATAGCACTCTCGCCTCTAAGCAAGAAGGTTCTGGGTTCAAATCCCGGTCGGAACAGGGCCTTTCTGTGTGGAGTTTGCATGTTCTCCCCGTGTCTGCTTAGTGGGTTAGTTCTCCTCCGGGTACTCGGGTTTCCCCTACCACTAAAAACATGTGCAATAGTTCAGGGTGAATAAGTGTGTGTTTGTGAGTGCGAATATAGGACAACCGATGGAAATTAGCCTATGGCTACAATCTGTAGTGATGTGTTCATTAACATGTACTGTCCCAACCAAATAAACAATAAATAAATAAAACATGTTAGCAGCATACTCTACAGCAGCATGTAAAACTACTGTACATGTTAGCAGCATGTGATACTACTGTACATGTTAGCAGCATGTGATACTACTCTACATGTTAGCAGCATGTGATACTACTGTACATGTTAGTAGCATGTGGGTTTTACAGCCCTAAAACATACAGCTGCTACATAACCCCTGTGATTGACGAGAGAATAGTGTACCATTACCTACATTGAAGTGTGCTGGTTCAGTCTCTCGAGATGATTGTTCTCTTTGTCTCAGTTTTTGACATTGTGAGAAACTTCACGGCTGACTACGACAAAGCTCTGATCTTCAACAAAGTGCACCACGAGCTGAACCAGTTCTGCAGCGTGCATTCTCTACAGGAGGTCTACATCGGCCTGTTTGGTAAGACCCCCTCCACACTTTGCATATACTAGGAGACCACAACAACACAGAGGCCACCACCACACTGCATATGCACCAGAAGACAGCAACAACACCGCGAGACCAGCACCACACTGCTTATACTCCAGAAGGCCTTGACAACACCGATAGACCACCACCACATTGTGCATACTTGTATACACCTGGAGACCACAACGACACTGAGAGATCAAAACCACACTGTGCATGTGAACCAGGAGACCACAACAGCACAGAGAGACCACCACCACACAGAGACCACAACAACACTGTACTTATGAACTAGGAGACCACAACAACACATAGAGACCACAACGGCACAGAGAGACCACAACCACACAGAGAGACCACAACAACACTGTGTATATGAACCAGAAGACCACAACAACAGAAGAGCCTTCTATAGCGGTACAAGTTGGAAATTACGTTCTGCTATTAATTTTAATACCTACACACGGTGGGATGTAGTTGAATCATATAGTTGTACGTTTTTTTACAAACCTTTACAACACAACTCATCAGAACAGAAAAGGAGTTGTACCAAACCCTCGTACATCATACACAGAAATGACTGTGGTGTGAATGTGTTACACCACAGGCTTCAATAATGGTTAAAATTAAAGTCAAGACTATAGGACTCCCAGAATTCTGAAACTTCTAGAACCTCTCCCTTCAAATCACTGGGATTCTGAACAATTCTCCAAAAAAAGTTTGTTTTCCACCAGTTTTATTAGAAGTTAGTCTTGTATACGTTTTTTTCCTTTAGTCGCCTTCAATAAGTGCTACTGCTACAAATGACACTTGAAATACAGCAAAACCGTTAGCCAAATGCCAACTACCAACAGTGTGTCGTTATGGTAACTAGCACTTCTGCTCAGGTGGAAAACCAAGCTGAACCAGGATCAGTCCAGGAGCAGTCCCTTGGTGAAAAGGGACTCTACCTGCTATTAAATACAAGATAAATTCATAAAATTAATGACATAGAACTAAACTAGTGATGAAGACCTACAATGTACATAATTGCGTAATTGCGCTTTCAAAACTAAAAGCCATCACATTGACTGCTCTGGGAATTCTAAGATTGCTAAGAATGACGAGTCAAATCTGCGCCTTGAGCGCATCATGGGTTTGTTGACTTAAAGCCGTAAATGGCAGGCTTCAAAACAACCCAAAAGTAGAAGTGGTTTTGTATAGAGCCCTCTCTAGGCTCCGCAGCTGTTTCTCATTCTCTCAAACACGGCACATTTTTCTGCTCCCTGTGAATCCGGCTAATTGTCTTTTGTCAAACCACAACTCTGCAATATGTCGTTCACGTTGACGAGATTATAAATAGTTTGCGTGGTCTTTTTCGCACAATATTTGTGTTGGTTTAGCATCACTTGGCTATCGCAGTGTTCTTCACTTTTATCAAAATAACCAAATGGCACACCTCCAATTGGAACTGATGCAAACATGAAACTCAGTCTGTTACTTATGACTACTTCACCCTAACACTTTCTGTTTTGTTTAAACTTTGCAAATTTGGGTTGTGCAATTTTGTGAATTTTGTAAAAAAGAGCCAAAAGCAGTTATAAATCAGAAACCAAAAATGAGACTCATTCAGCTCTCTGATTGGAGAATCTGCTAAAGAACTGTAAAGATAAATATGGGAAAATCATTGTGTCCACAATATACTCTTTTCTACTGTACTCTGGTCTGCTCGACTCTACTTGGCTCTGCTCTACTCTCCTCTCCTCACCTCTACTCTACTTGACTCTATTCTACCCTTTAAAATCCCAAATGAGCTAACAGCAACTTGAATTCCAATCTGATGTTGTGTTGGCCTAGTCCCACCTCACACTTGTTTAATCACATAAACAGCTTCTCTCTGAGTGAGGCCTCTCTTTTCCCACTAATGTTCATGTTGGTGCAGGCCCTTCCAGGTGAACATGTGACCAAAGCTCCTCTATTGTTGTTTATTGTTGATTCGTCACATTGTAAAGAAGCTGAGAATACATGCTATTTATAATTGTCAAACTAACCCCTAAAATCAACAGTTAAAGAGCGCTCAGGGCTTTCATTACAAAGATAATAATCATTTGTCAAGAGTTTGAAAGAAAAGGGTTTTACAATCTTGCCGTGTTCTGGGCAATGTCACACATGGACTTTTCCCTGTAAAACTTGAAACCGCATTTTGGACAATGTTCATTTGGGCTTCAGAGCCACCCTCCAAAACCTGAAGTTTTCCTGAAATTCAAGTCTAATAAATGATTGATATTCACAACATTTTACTTTAAGTGAAAATTTAGGTACCTGAGCTATAATACTATGAGTTTTGGCTGCGCTTCGTGAGGAGAGTTGGGGGAGAAATGGGGTAAAGACGGGGGAGACATGGGGAAGAGACGGGGGAGACAGGCAAGACCCGCACGTGCAACAAGGGATGGTCCTGATCGCGCGTGTTTGTTTCTGTCCGCGCATCTATGGTCATACATGACCATGTTTCGGCTTTGCGTTCGCTGAGCTGTGTCAAAGCGGCAACAGTTGCTCCCAGGGTCAGAACGAAGCATGTTAATCCCGTTCGAGTACGTAACGCAAACAACTGCCCAAGGTCACACATTTCACAGAAATTATATTTTCAGCAAAAAGTCGGAATTTGCGGATCCGCAGATAATTCTTATCACAAGTACTGTATATGCATTTCATTGGTCAAGAGAATTGATCAATGAAGAGAATAGGTCAAAAAAAGAAAAAAAGACGTGCCCGCTTTCCCAGCCTTAAAGGTAGGGGTAGCCTAAGGACACTGCCACAGTCTGGCACGTTACAGCCGCCCCACTATGGCACCTGGTGTTCCCAGAGGTCTCCCATCACAGTACTCGCCCAGCCCCTCCCTGCTTACCCTCAGAGGTTTGTTGGGATCTGACTTTCACCTGCAGGTGGCGCCACAAACACAATTTTTTTCCTCGTCAGAATTGTGCCTATTGTTTTAGCTCATTGCAGCTAATATCAGGAACCTCTGGCACAACCTTTTGCTCCCATCTCAAAGTGGTTATGCAAATCCTCATATGGCCCTATTTCCACCATGCTTACTCTACTCTACTATACTGTACTCAACTTTACTCTACCTTGATGTGTTTTTGGAAAAATCTGGGTACAGTTGGTTTTCTGACCTCTCTGATCTGACAGTAGCTTGTTTTAGCGCAGTGGTTGACTTGATGACAACCGGCTCCTGCTCTTCTCCTCAGATCAGATCGACGAGAACCTCAAGAAAACGCTGCAGGAGGATTTGACCAGCATGGCTCCTGGACTCATCATACAGGTCAATTCTCTCTATTCTACTCTACTCTACTCTGCTTTACCATGAGTACATTTCAGAATCAGAATCATTTTTATTGCCACGTAAGTAACAACATTACAACTGGACATTTCTGAAAAGCCTCATCTATTTTTGCGCCAACCTTTTCACCCTTTTTGAGCAAATTCTTTAAAAAAATATTACCAATAACAAAACCTGTTGGAGACTGTCAAAAAGTTAAATTGTTTTAGTTACAAATTCTCAAAATGGAGATGTCTGTTTTACAAATGTTCTCTTTGGATGTACTGTGATTTTTTTTATTTCAATGTTTCTTCCCCTGGTTTGTTCAGCACGTTTACCTGCCTTGTGTATGGGCTGTGCAATACAATAAACTTGCCTTGCCTATAGATACATCTATAATACACTCATAATAATTTTCATTGACAAACTCTTTCCCAGACTTTATCTTTTGTGTGTATTCCTGCCAAGACGCTAACTTCTTCTTAATCCTTCTGCTCCATCCAACATAAACAGTATTACACAACTCTCCCGGTCAGGACCCCGCAGCCGAGCTCAAATGCTGTTCTTTGTTACCGCTCCGCTGGCTATTTATTATATTTCTCACACAGTCAAACTTAAAGAGCTATAGATCCAGGACTGGGCTTTAGATCCAGGACTGGGCTGTAGATCCAAGACTGAGGCTGTAGATCTAAGACTGAGGCTGTAGATCTAAGACTGAGGCTGTAGATCTAAGACTGAGGCTGTAGATCTAAGACTGAGGCTGTAGATCTAAGACTGAGGCTGTAGATCTAAGACTGAGGCTGTAGATCTAAGACTGAGGCTGTAGATCCGGGTCTGAGGCTAACAATGGGACAGCGGTTGAATTGCTATGAACAGATAGGAGCTGAAGTCATAGTGATGACAGATAAAGTAGAATAGAGAAGATGTTAGTGCTGTTACCAGACTTCACCGGCAGGAACCTCCATATGCAGCATCACTGGCAGTCTGTATTTTTTAACATAAAGTTATAGTTCTAATTCTTACCTAGCCATATGCTAAATTAAACAGGAATGTTTAAGCCTGGCCTTAGAGGCTGTAGAGACTGTCTGCTTCCTTTCCAAAGTATAGCTTAAGGGCACGGCCCCATAGGTTTTTACAAATGAACTAGGCCAAGTGGCCCAGATTGTCGTCACAGGGGTGTGAAGACGGCCCGCGGTCACAAGGGGTTTATTTTCTCTATCATGCTGGACCAATTGCGCTGTAGTACAACACTTTGTCCAGCTGGTGGCGCTAATACTAACTTCAGCGACTTCCTCGTTGTCAAGTGTTAAGTTTCCGTTTCTCTTCCTGTTTACACTCAGCTACTGTGCGCTAACAGCTCGAGCATTAATTGCGTTGTGTGTGTGTGAGCGCGTGCGCGCCTTCAAGTAAAGAGCATAAGCGCTGAGAAATGAACGAAAAGTGTGGCGTACAATCAGAGCGACTTGAGCTAGGCAGGATATAAGTGTGTGTGTGTTCTGGCGTTTAAATAAAGTCTTATTCTTGAATGCCTAACTCTAAAGTGTTATTGCAATAGCGCCACACTGTGACCGCGAGGGGCAGAGCAGAAGGGAGTTCTCCTCGTAGTAAATGCTTCCCTTTGGCCCTGGAATGACACACTCCCCTGCGCCCCTTGACCACGGTCTGGGGGCTCACATGCAAGGTTTAACACAAGCAGGGAGAATTCGAAAGTACCGGGAGGGACATGTGTGAAAATGCGCGTCACAACGGGCGCAGCAGGAAGACTCAATGTGACGCACATTATCAAGTCCCCCCCACATCTCATCCCCCACTAACCACCACCCGCCACATTGACCCCCCCTCATCTGGGCTTTAGAAGAGTGCCCTGGCACACCTCTGTCAACCGTGCTTAGGCCCACTTGCAGCAACCGTTCCCAAGCCCAGTTGCCGCAGTCACATGGCACCTAAAGCTCGGATCTCATCACAAAGTGGGCCCAGGCCCACTTTAACCGGGCTTTATGCTGTGCATGTGCCCGCAACCTAAGTAGCTAAATGATCTGCCTCCAAATGCACTTCTTGACCTTCTGGTAACTAGCAGAAGTCTGGCGTTTTGCGATCATAGTCAGTGAGGAAGTCTGGTCGATACTAATGATGATAAATTATGCGTGTCTTGGAGGTAGGAGGGGAGCCGTAGCCATTTATAGCCATGTCTGTCAAAAGAAGGATTTTACACTTGATTCTGTTCTATACTAGAAGGAATTATGCAGAGAAAAAAACAGACCATTTTGTAATTTCTTGTGTTTGTTTTTGTGCTCCTCAGGCCGTCCGGGTCACCAAGCCAAACATCCCAGAAAGCATCCGCAGAAACTACGAGCTTATGTAAGTCCTCTCCCTGACCCTTTGACGCTTCATGTTATTTTCTCTCTGTAACGCTCTGTCCCAAAGTTACTCCAGCGCCCTGCCAAGAACTACAACGGCCTTATTCTAGTATTCTAGGATCACAAAAGACTGGAGGTCGTAAAATTTGATTATATGAAGAGAATGGAGAGGCTCTTAAATCTAATAATTAAGAAAAACATTGATTTTGGAAGGCTGATTCTATATTGTGCCCTGTCTGTGACTGCAGTGGTTCACAGGAGGAAGAAGCGCCTGGGTTTGATTCCACCTCCAGACCGGGCTTTTCTGTGTGGAGTTTGCATGTGACGATGCGTGTGAGTTGCAGAAAGAAAGGCCAGAGCAGACTTTTCTTTCTGAGAAGACTGAGGTCCTTCGATGTGAGCAGTCAGATGTTGCACATATTTTACCAGTCTGTGGTAGCTAGTGCCGTGTTCTTTGGGGTCGCGTGTTGGGGCACCAGTCTGACCTCGAGAGACAGTTACTGGCTTGACAGGCTGATCAGGAAATGTGTCTCTGTGTCTTTTCAATGGCCGCAGTTGGCTTCACTTTGTAATGTCCTCTAACAACAACTCCAAGGGAAAAATATGATACATTGTCAGTGGATCCATGCAAATGGCTTTCATAATATGTATGCATGTGTATACAGCTGGCTCTTGTTATTCGCTGGAGTTACGTTCTAAAAAGTAACCCATACCAAGTGAAATCCTTGAAGTAGCAGCTAGAGGACTAATCTCACCTCTGAACTAATCACCATAGAGCACATCATAGACTGTAAATATGAGTTTCCTTCAGTCAGTGCATGAATTAGATTTTTGAGGTGAAGGTTCAAAGAGTGATTCTTGGCTCTAACTCTTGCAAACAGTTTATGTCAGTCAGTATTTATCTAGCTGTAATGGTCCGGGGAATTTCCACTCACTGCTCTGGGGGTAAGCAGAGTCTAGATTGTGTTTCATGAAATTTATGAGTCCCATCGTTCGTCCCATTAGGATAGATAGCTCTTAACTCACAGCCATCTATCACTATAGTATAGATTCACTGTCTGTGTTGTTCTGAGGCAGCAGTCCAGACCATAGTCCAGACCATAGTCCAGACCATAGTCCAGACCATAGTCCAGACCATAGTCCAGACCATAGTCCAGACCATAGTCCAGACCATAGTCCAGACCATAGTCTTAGTCCCACCCCTCACTAGGGGTGGGAACCTCAGGGTACCTCACGACACGATACGATACGCGATACAAAGCTCACAATGACAATTATATCACGATAACGATTATATCACAATGTATTGGTCAGAAATATACCATATGCCAATTTCTTGGCATAAATTAAAGAAAAATTTTGAGTGAAAAAATACACTTCATTCCATGATAAATGGAATGGAGATGCGTAAGGTAGTCATATATTAAGTATTGATACTATGTAGAAAAAAATAATAATTTAAAACATAAAATATATTCAAAAAATCAAAAAATCAAAATCGATACTTGGCAAATGCATATAATCGATCGCGGGAGAAAGTATCACGATATATCGTTATATCAATATATCGTCACACTCCTAGTCCAGACCATAGTCCAGACCATAGTCCAGACCATAGTCCAGACCATAGTCCAGACCATAGTCCAGACCATAGTCCAGACCATAGTCCAGACACACAAATTGAAAAAAGCAACAAGACGACGTGATGTGATTATGGTGAATGCTATAGGAGGATCTTGGAGTGACGTTGTTGTTTATAGTTTTTCCGCGCCGGTCACGGGACCGGGTGGCAATACAGCATATAAAGCTACCTGGATGCTAGAGAGTTAGCTATTTTAGACGTTTTGAGAGAGGTTTTACTAAATCAAATGGTCCATCCTTGTTGTGTGGTTGATAGTATGGCCCGCTGGGGACCAATTTCCTAATTCTTTCGGAAAAGAACAGCGAAAAATGGCCGCTGTAAAGTGGTTTCCCTTTTATGCTGTTTCCTACGGTAAACGTAGAACGGGAAGCCGGGGGGATGAGGGGATAAAAATTCATTAACAAATTTACGTTTTGCAACTACTTTCACTGTGCACTTGTTCACTCAATCATTCATTCATTCATGAATGATGATTAATTTTAAACATTGCATTTTGGTCGCCTCTCAGCGAGAAGGTTCTGGGTTCAAATCCCGAGTTTGCATGTTCACCCCATGTCTGCGAAGGTTTCCTCTGTGTACTCCGGTTTCCCCTACCACTAAAAACATGTGCAATTGTTCAGGGTGAATCAGTGTGTGTTTGTGAGTGCGAATGTGGGACAATGGATGAAAATTAGCTCATGGAATCCGTGTATCATTCGTTCTTTTGATTTTCTAAATAAAACCAACATTGAAAAAACGAATAACGAGGGATGTTTTTAATCCGTGTACCCTTCGATCATTAGTTATTCCGTTTCAAAACAAAATCAGAAAAACAAATTTTCCATTCGTTTATTGGTATTTTCCTTTTCTAAATCAAATTGGAAAATCAAATCCTTTATGCTTCAATATCAATGTGTTTGTTTTGGCTCTAGTTGTTTAAATTCTCAAAAGAATTATGGCATTACTATTATTTCGTTTTATTATTATTTGCGACACCGGAAGAGAGAAGAGACCTCAGATCAGAGCCGCCGTTCAGCAAGTTTTAGGAGATTTTGATGGCTTCCCTCCAGCCTTATACACATTTAATTAGGAGACTTTTTAAAAATGGGGCAACACATGCAGAGATCAGTGATGCTTTATATTGCCACGGAGCGAATGGTTGCTCAGAAATATCGGTGAGGAGATTCTGCTTGGAAAACGACCTTAGACGTCGAAATCATGTTTCCGACGCAGATCTGGAAACTGCAGTGATCTCTTCAATTCATCAGGTATGTGCAGTATGAACCTACATTATTACGGCCCCGTTCCTTTCAGTAAAACGACTGTAGTAAATGCACACTGCGTAAATGCGCTACTTTTGTAATATGTAAACAAAGTCCTGCCATTTGGTCTGTGATACACAGCTTTCATTTGCGCTTTCCCATACGTACATGGCCTTCTGTGCAGACTGTGACAAGGGCTTTAATATTTTAATTAAAGTCTAGAAACATATGCATATTACAGACAGGCCCGTCATATGGACGAAAGTTTATGACTGGATATTTGACGTCCATTGGAGTACGTGCTGGTGAACGCCGAGTGGGGAGAGTATTGAGAGAGGTGCACCAGCCTTACCACAATTTGCGACAACGTGTAAGTGCCAGATGCAAATGTGTAAGCTTGTCACAAGTGTAAATATTGTGACACAATGTGTTGAGAATGGTGGTATGTATATTTGTTAATATGTATGGTTAATATCTACTTTAAAGGGTGCTCGGAACTTGAATCCCATCCCCTACCATGCAGAATACATGGGACACAAGATTCACCTGGACCAGAATGAAAAGTTGGTGATGTTTGGTGTCACCCATGTTGTGGCAGTGGATGGCTACAGCTCAAAAATTGTTGCATATGCCACAATGCCTGTTAAAAATAACCTCACTATTTATGAAGAAGTGTACAGGTTGGTAAAACTATGCTTAGCATTTAGACTCTGAAACCCCTTATGTCCCACTCTTCTTTTCACTGTGACTCATCTATCTTTGTACTCACTCACCTTTCTCTCACCTGTACCTGCATCCCAAAGAGTGAGCTGTTTGTGGCACACTCCTTTGAATTTTTTTTGGACCTCACTCTCTTACACACATTTTCTCTATTCTCTACTGTTTGGTAAGCTAGTAATGTTTTTATTTTTATTTTTTTTGATAGACCTGCAGTGGCGACACATGGTATGTGGGATCAAGTGCGTGTGGACCATGGGAAGGAGTTTTACCTATGCCTGTATATGCAGGAAATCCTTTCCAAATACCGCTTCAATGTTAGTCGGCAGCCCTATGCCCAGACTACGTCAACCAAGGTGCTTACTATACTCTTGTCATTCATTGATTGGCTGTATTATGACAGACACAGTACTAGGGCGGAGTAATTCATTGCAAATTTGTTATCTAAGTTAGGTGCTCTAACATTACATGTAATTATGAAATTATAAGTAGTGACTTCTTAATTTTAATGTAAATAATAATGTTTAATCTAACTTATTAGCAGCAAAAAAGTTTCAAAAAGTGGTAATCTAGATTTAATGATATAAATATTATTTATAAGCAAGTCCATGACCACTTTTTAAAACCTTTTCTTATTCAGCTTGCATGTAAAGGAACATACACACTCACTATTTTTCTTTTGTTCCTTGTAGAATCTTAGGGTAGAGCGAATTTGGCCGGAGGTGAACAACCGTGTGAATTATCCATTGAAAGCGGCTTTAGTACACCTCGTGGACCAGGAAACCCTGGACATGCAGGATGACCGCATAAAATTTTGTGTGTCAAACTTAACCTGTCTTCTCAGCCAGATTGGCTTACAGCGAGTTGTAAATGCATGGAATGCACACAGGATTCCAGGTAAGCAACCATGATAACTTATGGTTCCCTAAAGTCAAATTTGACTTGCACACATAGTACACTATTACAGTACAATTATGGAGCTTGAAAAACTAGTGAAATGTTACAGGTCCCTTTACTAAACACTTGCATAAATAAATCTAAATTTTACTTATTGAAAACGAATCTATAAAATATGACTTAATGTAGGACTTCTTTAAACAACATAAGCAAAGAATAATGAACAAAATGAACAAATAAGACTTAATACAAAAACATACATTTAAATGATTATAAATGACAGAACAAACACACAACCCAACTCTCTGCACACACGCATGTGTTCAGGTAGGAGGGTTTGATGGAGAAGTGGGTGGTCAAGGGCTGTAGATTAAAACTACTACATTTGAACTCCCCATGCAGGTTCCTGTTAAAATTTTTATGTCTGTGTTCTTCTTGTTTGAAGATCACCGTTAGTGCAATATAATTCTGTGGCCCTATGCATAAACCTGATATACACATGAATGTTAATCATAACTGAGGTTAAAAGTAACACTATGTTCATTAATGAAATGTATTCAAGTATTTGTGGTCTATCAGGTTCATGCATGGGGCCACAGAATTGCCTTTTCGATCATGGCAATTAATCGTATAAATGTTTTATTTCTAGGACGAGGAGTACCTAATGATTTGGCGTCTGGAGGAAGTTCTGCCAAAATTGCACAAGACCTTTTGCCCAGTGCCTCTGTTGCTGCTGCTCACTATGAACAGGATTTGGGCTCTTCCTTAACAACTGAATCAGTCTTTGGTGTAGACCCATTTCAAAATGAAATGGACAGGATTCATGCTGAAGAGGACTTTAGGGTCGCTTACCCAGATTTGTCTGTTATTGTTGACAATGTTGCTAATTTCGAATATACAGATTTTAATGAAGCACTTTTTTGCTTGCTCCGTGCAACTGAAAGGCATGCTTAAGTAGGCGGGTAGTATTTTATAAGTATGTGTACAGTACACAATAAAAAATGTACTTCAGTAAATGTCAATGTTGTAAAAGCTGCATGTTCACATAAAATAGATTTAGTTTGTTAAATGTACCTTATTCTTCAGAATTAAAAAATTTATGGAACCGTCTTTGAGTATGAAAGTAAATTTGAAACGCTGATACTCGTATTTTTACATACTTTAAGCTCAGTCATAGTTTACTTATTGTAGAAACAGGTTTGAGTCATTCGTAGACTGTAGGACATTTAGCTTCTCAGTGGACAAGCTTGCTTGTGAAATGTCCCACATTGTACTAGAGTACAGATGCCTCAAGAACTTTTATATCTGTACTAAAGTAAATTAATTGAATACTTCTTCCTTCAACAGACTCACTGGGAAAATATCCAAATGTGTTAATACACTATAGTAACTGAATTGTGTTAAAATACACAGGATTTACAGCCATGAATTGAAATGTATTTATATCAAATGTTAGAACATTGGTAACAAAACTGGCATAACTTAAGAATACTCTATACAAGCATTTTCCCAACACCTCAGTAAAAGAAAATTGTAATAGGTGTAACAAGGGGGGAATAAAAAATATACAATCACATAATAAAAAGTGATCATGATAAATGTGGATTAATATGGTATACTTAGTATTGCACATATCCCCAAACATAATGTAAACTTGGTAAAAACATTTTGAACATTTAAAGGGATATTTCAGGATTTTTGACACAGGGCCTCATTTCCTAATTATCCAGTGTTGTTGATTTCTGGGGATTTTTTTTTCTTCTTAAATTCATGCAGTTCTTATATTTGAAGAGTCTGGTGGTGCTAGGCTAGGGCTAGGCCAAAGCATTTCTATGGTATCAGTTAGCCTGCATTAAAACAAGTCTGACCCACTCCACAGTGCACCTGAGGAAATCACTTATAACGCCACACTAACCATATAAAGGTCTGTCGATAGAATAATTTGAACAATTTTGCATTTAAAATAACATTTGAGCAGCATCAGCTTTGTGGTTGTAAGCTAACGCAACGGAGTGATCTGCCAGAAAATAGTCCCTCAAAATGCGGTATTGCATGCGATACAAGGCCAGTTATATCTCAAAAATTATTCTATTAACACAGACATTTATATGGTTAGTCTGGTGTTATAAGTGATTTTCCTCCGGTGCACTGTGGAGTGGGTCAGACTGTTTTTAATGCAGGGTTGCTGATACCATAGAAATGCTTTGGCCTAGCGCCACTAAGCTCTTTAAATATAAGAACTGCATGAATGTAAGAGAAAAATATCGCCCTATGTCAAAAATCTTGAAATATCGCTTTAACCATACCAATTTAACGTGAAGTCAATGATCATTCAGGAAATAATATTGTGAAGTGCTGTGAGGGCATCGTCCAGCCCCACAACAGACTGGATGTGGAAAGAAAAATCATCGGTCCGGCACTTGGGACAGTGTGCATGACCATCCTGCCACTGATCCAAACAGGCTCTGCATCCAAGTACGGTGGTACAACAGCTTGCAAACATTGGATCCTTCATGGGGTCTGTAAGATATATGCAGTACAAGAGTGAGAAGGAGCTTTGTTCAAGCCTTATGTTCAATTAAAGATGGAAGTATGACAAAGTGAGAGAGACCTATATGTAGAAATTTGAAATCACAAGGACTACAAGAAATTAGGAAATTAGGGAATAGGCAAGGTTATGAGGAGCAGATGATTCACTGAAAACTTCAGAACATAACAATAAAAGTCAAACAACAAATACAAGTACCTCTACAAATGACACAAGAAAAGGCTGCTTTTACAGCAGCAGCCTGGTCTTCGCTGAGGCTGACAGTTGTGTACTTGTTTCCTCTGACAAATGCCACAAGGTCTTTCAGTGACTTGGATACTTCCTGCAAACCTTGGGATGCCAAAAGGACCTCCTCAATTTGGTCCAACACCTCTGGAAGGGCACTACTGTCACCATTTCGACTGAAAATGTATAACATGGTATATTTAACACTCAAGTAACAATTAAGAAGCAAATGTAAAAGCTACTTTACCTTTCTCTCTTTCGCTTATTCCCCCTGAGCCTTTGTAGTTGTTCTTCTGGAACAGCGTAAATTTTCCTTGCATTCTGTTTCCAGAAGCCAGGTCCTACAAAGTAAAAAATACTTAGTTCAGACTTGTTTTTCTTTAATTTACTCAATATCTGTATTTTTATTTTATTTTATTGTACCCCTTGTTCCTTCACAGTCCATTATCTCATTATGATGGCTGTCTATCAGCACAATGGACTGCTCTTGGCCAAGGGCCTCAAACACTTTGGCCTTAATTGTTGGGAGAGATGACTCAAATTCTGAAAATTTGAGGGTTACGGTTTTATGGGTTTCTAGTCTTCCATCAACAAGCTCGGCTATAAAAACATTCCTACAAACAAAGGATCAAGGTTATGCACCAACTGGATAAAAAGTTGAAATACAATTTCCAGCACTTTAATAAATGTAGTTTTACCTTTGTAACATCTTTGGTCCAGCTGCTTTTGAAGCCTGAAAACCTGCTGGACTAGTGGTACTACTAGCACTGAATGGGCGGGCGAAAAGCAAAGCGGGCAGGAGTTTGCTGGTTGGAGGTAGATGGGGGGCCTTCACCAGGTTCTCCATCATTTGTGCTTTCGCCGTACACTTCATAGTGGCCACCACCCAGTAGCTCCAGGTTGTCAAATGCACCGCCCTGATCGGGCAATATTACCTTGTTGTGGTCGTCAATCAAATAAACGGTGTCAGCACGGACCTATTCGCAAACATAGAAGGGTGTAATTAAGTTATGATTATATAGATACTTGCAATGTGTGCTGATGCAAAGCAGACTTCTGTCTTTTTTCATTTTTAAAACTACTAAAATTCAACAATGTTCCGTACTTAACTTGTTTTTAAATCATACATAGTTCCAAGCTTAAATTGTGCTAATTACACGTGCCGCCGATAAATCCATGGCCGGCACGTGTACGCGTAAAAGTGTCTTCTCCAAATAAACATAGTTAAAAACAACTCACCTGAAATATCATGGCAATTTTGTTGGTGGTAACGTCATCTGGACTAAAAGAAATCTGTCTACCGCGTCTGAATAAAACGTGATTATCCATTTTGCGTGTCGCGCGAGTTGTTGTCTTGTTGTTGTTTCCGCCTCTCACCACTCATCATTTCCGGTAGCATATCAAACAAAATAATGGAAGTTGTTTTAGTTGTGTTTGTTTCCACTGCATAACAAAGAAATGGGTGAATATTTCATTTAGAATGTTTTGATTTTCCAATTTGATTTAGTTTTGATTTTATTTTCCTTTTCTAAATCAAATTGGAAAATCAAATCTTTTATGCTTCAATATCAATGTGTTTGTTTTGGCTCTAGTTGTTTAAAATTCTCAAAAGAATTATGGCATTACTATTATTTCGTTTTATTATTATTTGCGACACCGGAAGAGAGAAGAGACCTCGCGGAAGGGGGGCTACAGACGCGGGGGTGGGACTCCCCTGGTCCTACCCGCAGTGTGAATTTGACGCGCGGGGGATAAAGGACCAGAAAGTTATGGCCCTTGGAAACCCCTGGGGGACCGCGCGTCTACCATCCGCCCAAGAGCGCTCCTTCTGGGGGAGGAGAACCTCGGCTTCCAGGGCTTGTCAAAAACAAACCAGGGGTGCTAGAGACACGGGGTTTTCACCCACGCACTCCTCCGGTTCTGGACTATCACCGGGGAGGGCTTTGCTCCCGCTCAGACCCAGGCCTGAGCGCTCATTCTGGGGGAGGAGAGGACCGCAGGGTCAGGAGGCACGCTGCTCCATACCCCCGTGCTTACGGCCATACCACCTTGAGAATGCCCGATCTCGTCTGATCTCGGAAGCTAGGCAAGGTCGGGCCGCGGGGGCCAGCCGCGTATAGTGGGCATATCGTTGATTGGCACTGAACTCTATTTTCTATACAGATTGTTTTGTCAAATACTACTGTTTGCCCTGAAATATGATCAATAAAAAGAAAGACTTCAATAATGTATGACATTATAATATATTTATTGTGAACAGATGAAAAAAGAGATATTTACAAATTTAAGAAATACACTTAGAAGAAAAACAACAACATGCTATCTTTATCTTCTTAAACTAGTATTTGTGTGATGAGCCCTGTGACTGTGACGGCTGAGAGCTGACTATACAGAACTGTAGATGCAGACTTTACAAATGAAATTATATAATTAGATATAATCAATATTAAGTATATATTTACATAATAATTAGAATATGTATAAACATTTATGAACAGACAGGTATAATATAGTAACTATATACAATAGCACCAATAGACAGCAGATAGCTCATTTATTTACACGCCACCTTTCCCTCTCCCGGTCATAAAAAGGAGACTGCTGGAACATCTGCGTCTCCATCCCCTGGTCCTTGTACAGGGAGAATACTTTGGCAGGGCAGTAGATGTATTTTCCTGACAGACCAGGGAATTGTGCATGAATGTGAGGACTGGTCCCTGCTTCAGCTGCAGTTTGCAGAACCCGTACTTTCTCCCAGTGGCAGGAGACTCATCTCTCTTCCTTTTCTTCTCCTGCCGCTCATTCACTCTCTGCTGCGTGGCCTCCAGCTCTCTCTGGTAGAACTCAGTGTCCATAAAGTCTCGGAATGGCATCCTGGAGTTGGTCAAACCC